TCCTGCAGGTCCACCAGACGGCCTAGATTCATGAGCACGGCCTGCATGTCGTCGTCTTCCATATTGCCGCATACATTCCGAACGAATTTCTCCCAACTGTAGTAGTTCGCCATCACCTCGGCAACGACATCAGACTGTACCTCAGGGAGGGCAACGCATGCAGAATCGACTGCTGACATAGCAGAGGTGTCGCAGTACGCATAGACATTCATACCTCGCTAGACCCCTATTCTATCGCGCACCTTATAGTACGCATTCCGCAGTTGACTCAGCCGTGTGTGATCGCCGTCGACAACGACCGCTAGGTACTGCATCAAGACCTGTGTGTCCAACATGGTGCGGAAACGGCCCATAGCTTGCCAAACCACTCTGTCGCGCATCAGCACTTTCGAGTCCTTGAAAGCCGTGCGCAACTTGCGCCGGTCAACAAAATCGACCAATTTTCCGATGGACATCACGTCCACATCCAATCGCTCAAGCTGCGTCCACGCTTCATGGGCGTACTTCACCGCGGTCTGACTCGCTTGTAAACTTTTGATGAGGTCGTCATGGACCACCATCAACAAGCGCTCACTTTTGTTGCAAGCCGTTATGCGCTGGAGCGCGAGGCTGATCTCGGGCGATAAGCTCATTCCGTGGGCCTGCTAACTCAATTTTCTCTGAAAGCAACTCGAGCTGGAGCCTCAAACGCTATGCACAGAAGGCACAGTCTCTTAATTCTTAGCAATGATGCTGCAGATTGCTTTTTGCGTTCTCGCAGACACAAAGCTGAGCCAAACACTTCGCTTCGGACTCCTGCCAAGACTTTGTGATGCTGCAAGATGCTTCAGCACTAACCTCTCAGGGAACCTGTTCCGAAAGCTTCGGCCGCTCAGTGTGACGTGGCCTCGGCCCGAACCCGCAAAGGCAACTTCGACTGGCAGAATGTCTGTATCCGAGCCGCGCGACAGTTTCTGCTACCTTGGATACGACCTGCTGCAGAGCCTGACCGGCCCTGTCACAGTGCCCGTCGCCTCGCTTCCAAGTCCAGTACGC